CTAGAGAAGCCCCGCCTGGCACTATAGAGCGCCGCCCGCCCGCCCGGCTAGAAAGGCCCCGTCCGGCTAGAAAGGCCCCGCCCGCTCTTTTGCATAAAGATGGCGCCCCAAGGGAGCGCGGAGACTGCTGGGAGGCGGCAGGCCCACCATGCAGCGCTCTGCACCGCGCTCTGCCGCTGTGCATGCCGGGACTTGTAGTTCTGTCGCTCCCCTGCAGGACAGGGGAGGTTGCCTGCCCCCCTGCTCGCCTGGCAGGTGCAGCCTGGGGTGTTAGGAGAATGTCTCCCACTAGGAGGGCGGGGAAGCGCTGGATCAGGCTGCAGAGCGAGGGGGTGCATGCTCCATCCTTGAAGGTTTTCAAGACATGGGTAGACAAAGCCAGGGCCGCGATGCTCCAGTTGGGGCTGGCCCTGCTCTGAGCGGGCCTTGCACCAGATGTGACTCCTGAGGTCCCTTCCCACCCTCCTCCTCTGTGCTTGTGCTCCGTCAGCTCGTTGCCCCGTAGCTCAAGCTGCAGGCTGATGCTTCACTCCCCACAATTAACGATGACAGCGGCGATCATCTGATTTCTTCTCGCCCAGATGTCCTGCACAACACGATCCTCCCTCTCAGCAAGACGGCTACCGAATCAGCGCCGTGCCCGAGGGGCGTCTAGCAGCTCCCCCGTGGTGGCGTGCCGCGGATGCTCGGTGCCACGGCCCTGCCGCCGGGCAGGCTTTGCTCCCTTCTGATCGAGGCGTGCAGCCAGGTGGCGAGACGTGTCGCCCAAACCCACCGCTTCTGAGGCACGGTGGGACTGCACCTTGCAAGGCGGTTGGAGCTGCTCAGTACTGTCTTACAAAGGGGGAGCGCATTTCTTTTGTTAGTCGAGACTCTTCTACCCACCTTGAGTTGAAGTGAACTCGCGCTGTGGCATCAATGCCCAGCCCGGGAATCTTATCCCGTTCTTCGTCACATACTGTTGCCGGGGAGCAATAGGTCTCAGTCCTGGGAGCGGAGGATAAACTGGAGAAGTAGGAGGGTCCCCATGGAAATATTTACTCTGTGTGCTTGTCCCATTTGCTGTTAGGATTTAAGCTGCACAGGTCATGAAGACCTTGATATAAATGCCTTGGGGAATACACACCCACCCCTGTTGAGGTATAATCTCCATTACTTCCAGTAGCAATAGCACTTGCCAGGAAGCCGCCACAACCTAAAGCTGATTTATCCTCAATCATGGAAAGACTTAGCGTGCATTAGCCTATGGATTTTGCTCAGGAAAGCAGTCCCATGAAAGTGCACAGGGCCACTAGCCTGAACGGGTCACTTGTGCATATGGCCCGCGTTCACAACTGAGGCTTCAACATGTCTCAAGTCTGACATTCCTCTCACGACTGAGGCCTGGATTCCCTCGTGGGCAAAGCTCTGCTCCTTGCAACACAACAGCAAGACAGGCAGGCAGAGCTGCTCCAGCTCAGGCTGTCTATGGCTCTGCAGACAAGAGCTTCCCCACTCCCCTCCCACCTACCCATCCTCAGCCCCTCAGACCAACGTCCCCTGAACAGGGGGATGCTCATCCAGAAAGTCAGGGGCAGAGCACTGCAACGCAGCTGGAACAGGAAGCTATCGTAGCCTAGTTCAGGGAACTCAGCTCCTGGCCCTCAGCTTCGTATCGTCCAACCTGGAGGGCTCCCCACAGGTCCAAAAATTTGGCTGAGTGAGTGGTGGCAGTGTTAATTGCTGCTCCCCCAGCGCCAAATTTCCAGGCTTATGGGAAACGGTATGGGCAGACAGGGTGGACCTGCAAGCTAGATCAGGTACTTGGGGTCAGGGCAGTGCAGCGCCTGATCCGAGCCGTGCAGTGCAGGATCCAAGTGTACGAGGTCAGGTCTGGGTGGGTGGGGCCTGATCCTGGCACACGCAGTCTTATCTGGGTGCACGAGATTGGATCCAAGCAGCATAAGGTAGAAAGTAGGCAGCAAGATGCCAGATCTGGGCATGTGGGGCCAAACCCCAGGGGTCAGCCCCATACCATTCATCTGGCCTGCAGGGCCAAAAGGTTGAGCAGCACTGACCTACCTGGACGCACTAGACCCTGGAGCATACATATGTGCTACCTATTTGGCACATGCGCACATGTGTGTGCATGTATATATTATACTGCTTATTTCATCTCATAATAGAAACACTCCTATTATTTTTCCCTCCAATAAAATGAGAACATTGGTTTCATAATACCACATTTAAAAATATTTAATTTCATGCATCAGAAAATAAAAAGGGTTTACAGCATTTTACAAAGTACATTCAACAAGGCGTCCTGCTTCCCAAACCTGCAGTATTAGCTTGTTTCACATGGGGTTGGTTCTGCCAAAGTTGAAATGACTTAGACATACTTGATGCACCGCTCTCAGTGCAAGTGCTGGTGTGCTTCCCTGCTGAAGTGCTTTAATACTGATAGCATCTTTGATCAAATGCAGGACATGTCAGATGAGGTTTGTTATATCATTGGAGAGGCATTTTTGGTGATATCTTTTTATTGGACCAACTGAAAGAGATGTTAGACAATTAGGTCTTTTGATGCATCTGCTTTCTAACTTTGGCCCTGGTCCAACAAAGAACTTATCCACGTGGGTAAATGTGTGCACATGAGCAGCCTCATTTGATGAGACTATTTGCATACATAAAATTATTCACATCTCCCTTTAACATCAGACCACAGGAGAATAGGAAAATAAGAGAATTAGGAGACTAAATATCTACTGCATCTGACAGCTAATGAAACTACTGCTTCAGCTCAGGCAGCAAAAGATTGTGCTTCTAACAATGATGGCCAAAGACCAGCCTTGCCAGTCACCAACATGGATGGCCTCAAGCAATGAATAAGGAGCATGAACTTTTGGTTTGACTGGGATACGGCGAATCCATCATTGCTGCCTTGCTAGCATCAGAAGTGCCGTGACTAAGATTTAAAAGGCTTGATTCACCTACTTAATCTGTCCCTGGCCCCTGCAGGCTGGTGGTGGTCAGGGAACAGGAAGACATCCTAGCTCAGGGGTGGGCAAAATGCAGCCCAGGGGCCAGATGTGGCCTGCCAGACCATTCTATCCGGCCCACGGGGCCCCTAAAAAATTTAGAAAATTAATATTTATCTGCCTCTGGCTGCCTGTCATGCAGTCCTTGATGGTTTGCCAAAACTCAGTAGGCGGCTCTCCGCCCAAAATAATCGCCCACTGCTGTTCTAGCTCTACTCCCTCCTTTCAGTCTACGGCCAGAGTCACCATGTCAGTGCGGGGAGAGGGATGCACCTTTATTGAGGCCACAGGAATTATTAGCACACTGGGAGGAGGGAGGATTTGTGACTCCGCAGTCATGTTCCTGAGTCCAGCCGCCTCCCAGAGCTGCTGCCAGTGAGCCACTTGCATAGCAGACCGTGCTGCTCCTGAAGTCAGATTGCAGCCCTTGAAAAAGGGCCCGTGTGAAAACACAGCTGCTTAGGGAGGCAGCTGGGAACCACACTGCAAGAGGGCTAGACCCTGCTCTCGGTCATGACGCTGCTGCTCAGATTCCAGCTACAATGCATTAGATACCACAGCTACAACCAGGCTGAGAGCTCTGGTCCCAGGCAGAGGAATATGATCCCCTCTTCCCAACTCCACCCTACTCAATGCTTCCTCGTCAACAGCCTCCCGGCTCAAATGTGATCTCTGTCTGCACATCCAAACAGTGAGGCTGCCCCAAGTACAGGGAGGGTGGGATGGGATGTATTGTACTGCAGGCTTGGTCCAGCTTTGGACAAAATGATGCATAGAGATTTCAAGTCTCAGAACTTAACAAATACATTATTTCTAGTACAGTCCATTAATTGCTTAAATATTCTATTTTTTTCAATTAAAAAAAAAGAAAACACTTTACAGCTGCTTCCACCGGCTGAGTCATACAAGGCCCCTGGGTTTGAATTTCAGCCTCAGTCTTGCCCTCTGGGAGTCAGCTTTCTGTAATCCCAAGCTCTGTTTCCTTACATACAACTTGCCATCTAGTTATTTTTGGCCTGGTGTGAAGGAATCATACAGATTTAGAGGCTACAATATAAAAGTCAGATGATATACAATATCACACTTGAGCCTTTTCCCTAGAGAAGGAAAACATTATTATACATGTACAAGATTATACAGTCTCGGTAATATTGCAAAAGGAACCCAGAGCAATATTTGATCCAAGCAAAATGCTTCTACTATACACTGGATGAAAGTACTTTCAAATCCACTACATAGAAAAAAAAATATACATGGAATATAATTACAGTCTCTTTCCC